AAAAACATATACATTTGATGTAAATTAGATCGATTTTTTCTCTTTCTCTCATAACAATGATGTTAATCCCAGTACAGTTAGGTAAAATCAAGGAAGGAATCACTACATAGACTTCAGTGAGATATAATACCAATACATCATCAGCCGCGTGAGCTGTCGTGGGTGCACCTAGGTACACCCACATTATACCAATTCTCTGTGAGCTCCACTGGCTCCCTATTGGTCTCCAGTCACAATTCAAGGTGTTGGTTACTACCTTTAAAGCCCTACATGGCTCAGGGCCAGGTTATCTTAGAGACCACCTTCTGCCGCATAGCTCCCAGCGACCGGTAAGATCTCACAGAGTTGGTCTCCTCCGGGTCCCGTCAGCTAAACAATGTCGGCTGGCGGGCCCGCGGGGGAGGGCCTTCTCTGTGACTGCCCCAGGTCTCTGGAACGAGTTAACCATCCCCATCCTATTGGCCTTCTGAAAAGTGGCGAAAATCTGGCTTTTCCGGCAGGCCTGGGGCTGTTGATCTCGCTCTTGTGATCTGGCAAGATCTGGCCATGAATGGTATGAATGAGTTTTTAATGTTTTTAATGTTTTTTAATTTTTCAATGTCTTTTTAGAATGATTTTTAAAATGTATTGTGAGCCGCCCTGGGTCTTCGGAGAGAGGCGGCATATAAATTTAATTAATTAAATTAATTAAATTAAATCATCTTGGAAACTGGAAGAGGAATTTCTTACCTTTATAGTGAGTTTATTATGGTAGCATTTCTTTGAACGTTTTGAACTGCTTCTCAGATTCTTTCCACCTAGGCTGAGTTACTGTTTATGAGATAAATTGCCAGCAGATTCATCTTCTCTCTTACAATTGTTCATGTCTACTTTCCCCTCTATTATTTTTTCTATCTCCCTACAATTTTTCACATCCCAGGAGCATCTAGTAAAGATGAAATATGAATGATGCAAAGCAGCAAAAATGCACTTCTTCACACAACACACAGTAAAATTATGAAACTTGCTGTTCATATGATGATTGCTACTAAATGGCATGGGTGTAAAATTAAATCAGCAGGACAAATCTCTTAATATGTTAATGAGCAGTCCACAAAGCATTCATTCCAGGTACTTGGATGAAGAAAAGTAGCCCTCACTTCTAAGTATGAGCATCTGTAACTGCTTTGCTGAAGAAAAAAGTTTTCTAAAACAAGGGGACTGGGACAAGTAGTTTGACCCCACCTTGACATTCTTAATTGAAATATCTAGGGCAGCTGCATTGTGTCTGTGATGCAAAGTGCCAGAGAGATAGTGTTTTTATTCTATCAATATACCTTTGAACATGTAAGTGGAATAGTGTTCTTATACAAATACCCTGCTTATAAGCTTCTCATATTTATCTGGCATGTTGACCATTTTGGAAATAGTAAATATGGCTAGGCAGGGCTTTGGTCTCATCCAGCATTTTTATTTTGGTATAACTAAGAAGCAAGGACAACTGTAATTTTAATTGATTATGGGTAACCAAGTATATTTTTGGTGATCACTTAAATATATAACTCTGGTTTGTTTGATGATCCATTTGGCTATCTGTGGTGTTCCCAGGAGTCTTCTCCAACACCAAAGTTAAAAAACATCAATCCTTTCAATCCCGCTTCTTCAAAGTCCAACTTTCACTTCCATAGGGCAACACAGGAAATACTATTGCTTGCATTGCTTGCATTACTCTGATCTTTGTGCGGGCAGACTCTGAATATCTTTTCCAAGGTTTTCATGGCTGCTCTGTCAAGTGCTAATCTACAGCATATTTCTTGATGAGGGACCTTTGAGGCACAAAGTTTGTCTGACACCAATATTAGTAGGCTTTAGATATCAAATTAGTTTTAGTCAAACATTTAAAAGTTGCTAATACAAAGCTATGTAAATATATACCTGTAATTTATATTGTCTATTCTGACAGAAGTCCCTTTAAATCCTGTTAAATTATGTAGTACCTGCTCTAAGATAAAACAAATAAGACTTCTGTGGTATTTTAAAGATTATCCAAGGTAAATCCTATTACATGAGTGGAATTAGCTACCATGTAGAAACAACAAAAAAACTTCTAGGTGACTGAAACTGTTATTTATTGGAATAATAAACAATTAATCTTTAAGGTGGCAGTAGAAACATATCTGTTTTGGCTGCAAGAGACTATTATGCTGTTTTTCTGCAAATTCTATGGAAATGAATGTACTTATTTATTTGTTCATTAGATATATATGGCCACCTATCTCACCAAGGGTGATACCGGGTAGTGTACAATAATACAATAAAACAATGCATCTATAAAAACATTCATATAAATATATAAAAAAATCAAGGCCAAAGATTCAGATTGTAAAAATATACCAACCTAAGATATGGAAACAGTATCTACCTCAGTAGTTTAGCCATCTGACCATATCTCTGGTTCCCTGGAATCCCCAGGCCTGGTGACATAATTTTTCTTAAGGGACTTAGAGAAAATCAAAATGAATTCAGCTAACTGAACCTTGGGTGTATTACACTAGGTGGGTGCCACAGCAGAGATGGTCCTACTAAATGTATGTCCCTAGAGGAGGACCCAAAACATGCCTTCTCTGCCATATCTAATGGGATGGGCTGATATAATAGTTCCCTCAGATAACCTGGTCCCATGCCATAAAGGGCTTTAAAGGTTAAAACCAACATCATGAATTATACCCAGAAGCAAACTGGCAACAGTGTAGAAGCTTCTGGATACTCTTCAAGGGCACCCCAATGTAGAACACCTTACAATAGTCCAATCTGGAAGTACATAGGAGACTGTGAACAGTGCCTCCTGATCCAGGAATGGACATAACTGGCACGCAATATGAAATTGTGCAAAAGTCATTTTAGCCAGGACTGCTATCTGTTTTTCAAGCAGGAATTCCCACAATTGGGAATTGTGACCCCCAGATTGCACACTGCATCTGTCTGGGGCGGTGCGATATTATCCAAAGCCAAAGACGGCATAGTTCTGGAACCAGTTGGCCCTAAACATCAAAACCACTTCATCTTGCCAAGATTCAGTTATTCTATTGTTCCCCATTCAGACCCTCACAGCCTCCAGACATTGGGATGAGACATTCATGACACCACTTAATTCAACAGGGGCAGAGATATGGATAACATCATCATACTGATGTAGCTTCATGTAGATGTTAAACAGGATCTGAGAGTGAACTGACCACTATGGCATCTCTCATAGTAGGGGCTGAGGATGGGACATTTATTTGCAATTCAACACTGACTGGAATGAATCCTAAAGTTAGGAAGTGAACCAGTACACTGTGTTGACCATCCTCAATCCTCTGAGGCAATCCAGAAGGATACTATGTTCAATAGTATTGACAGCCATCAAGAAGTCAACTAGGGGAGGCAGGGATACTTACATAATGCCTGTCCAGCCTACACTAGAGGTAATCCAAAACTGAAACCAGTACCAATTCTATCACATACATCCGGATAATTTGTTTCAGCTGAGCCCCTCTGGAGCTGTTGCACAACCATCTTTTTAACTGCTTTCCCAAAAAAAGGGAAGGTAGAAGACTGGATGAAAATTGTCCAGTTTAGTGGAATCCAGCAGGGTGAAATCCAGCAGGTTCTGACAGGTTCTGGAGAACTGGTAGCGGAAATTTTGAGCAGTTCAGAGAACTGGCAAATACCACCTCTGGCTGGCCCCAGAGTGGGGAGGGAATGGGGATTTTGCAGTATTCTTCCCCTGCCATGCCCACCAAGCCACACCCACCAAGCTGCATCATACCCACCAAGCCACACCCACAGAACTGGTAGTAAAAAAAATTGGATTTCACCACTGGGATCCAGCATTGACTTCTGGAGTAGGGGGCAAAGCAAGATCTCTTTAAAAGGCAAAGAACAACCCCTTCACTCAAATAACAATTAATCACTGAACTCACTTACATGCACCTCCTAGGGCACTTTAACAATCTTGTGTAAGGGTACAAGGACTTTTAATTTATGCTAAATAGATGTTACTACGATTGTTGCTCTAGTTCTGTTTATATATGTTGTTAGGCCTTTGAATGCTTCAGAAATGTTTCATCAGAAATGATCTGGGTTCCACAGGTTAGCACCTGCTTAAAGCAGCTGGGTATTTTTTTAAATTTCTGATTTAAAAAAATTTATCTGATTTCTGATTAATCTGCTTTAATAAAGTGATATGTAGAATCATATTTTCTTACTGAGGTGTGACCTGTCTTCAGATCATGAAGCTGAAGTATAAAGTATAAAGATCTGTAAAAAATTAATTTAGTGTGTATTTTTTTTCTGGTTTAGAATTACTATTTCTGGATGATATCTCACTACAACTTTAAGATTCCTTCTTTTTATCCAAAGGAGCAAATAAATCACAGACTAATTTTCAAAAAAAATGCTTTAAATCATCTTGTTAATCATATTGAATTCAGTTCCAACCCTTTTTTTTAAAAACACACTGAAGTTGCCAGTTCTTTTCAAGGTAAGTGTTCTTAGGAAACTGCCAAGCTTAAAGCGGTTCTATCAATTAGGGGGTTAAAAGAGGTCAGCTTTCTAGAACAACAAAAACTAGTTGAATTTTGTTAATTTTGTCAAAATATCTGTCAGAGTTGTATGTGAGTTACATAAACTTTAACAATAAATACTTAAAGTGTATTCATTTTGTGAGGCCACTGTGGCTTTCTCTGTCTTTATGCATACATTCATGCACATAAACTTTTTCTTTCTGTTAGCTAGGGATAATCTTAGTTTGTTTTAATTTTTGTCCAAGCTCATAAGCCCTGGAATAGGCCCTAACATCAGCGACATTGCACACATTTGTCCAACTGATTGTAACACTTTAACACTCTTCTAAGGCTGTACATCCCAGCTATCTTGTTGTAAGTAATAATTCTCCAAGTTAAGTGCCATCCCTGTGTTTTCTTCTTGTCATCCTGTTTAATTGCCTGATTTCCCCCTTTCTTATTTGTTTCATACAGTGGGAGGAAGTCAGTGGCTACGATGAGAACCTCAACACAATACGTACTTACCAAGTTTGCAACGTCTTTGAACCCAACCAGAACAATTGGTTACTTACCACCTTCATAAATCGACATGGTGCACACCGTATTTATACAGAAATGCGCTTCACTGTTCGGGACTGTAGCAGCCTTCCCAATGTTCCTGGTTCCTGTAAGGAAACGTTCAACCTATATTACTATGAAACAGACTCTATTATTGCCACCAAGAAGTCAGCTTTCTGGACAGAAGCCCCCTATCTCAAGGTGGACACTATTGCTGCAGATGAGAGCTTCTCTCAGGTGGACTTTGGTGGCAGGTTAATGAAGGTGAACACAGAGGTGAGGAGCTTTGGGCCCCTCAATCGGAATGGCTTTTACCTTGCCTTTCAGGATTATGGGGCATGCATGTCATTGCTGTCTGTAAGGGTCTTCTTTAAGAAATGCCCAAGTGTGGTGCAAAATTTTGCCATCTTCCCAGAGACCATGACAGGAGCAGAAAGTACTTCCTTAGTAATTGCACGAGGTACGTGCATTCCCAATGCCGAGGAGGTGGATGTGCCCATTAAATTGTACTGCAATGGTGATGGGGAATGGATGGTTCCCATTGGCCGCTGTACTTGCAAGGCTGGATATGAGCCTGAGAACAATGTGGCCTGTAAAGGTAAGATGATGATTTGCTGTTGTCTGATGGCCATTGCCTTGTCAACTAAAGATATTAAAATCAAAATTAAGATTGAAAAGTTTTAAAATTATAAAAATAACATTATAAAATTTCCAGGGGTGAAACATTCCAAGATGGAGGGTAAGCTGTTAATGCAGGCAGGGATGGTCTCATGGGATTAGCCAGCCCCACAGTTGTGTGGGCCTCTGTGTCCCTTATGCAAGGCCACACAGCCAGGTTTTGACACTTTGTAGAATGTCAACATATTGGGGGCTTTCCTCACCTCAGAGGGCAAGATGTTCCACATTGCAGGGGCAGCAGTAGAGAAGATCCTCTTCCTAGAACCTGCCAGTCAACATTCTTTGACTGATGAGGGCTTGCTAGTAGAAGAACACAATTAGCTCTATGTTGTGAAGACCCACATCATGTGGTTACTTAAGAAATTGCAAATTGACATAGCTTTCTTTATTTGTGATAATTGTAGATATCAATGCCTGCTTTTCTTACAGTAAGGATTGCAAAAGGGACATAATGCTAGGGCACAATAGGTACAGAAATGTTTATCACTTCCTTGAAATTAGTTGTTTTAAACAAATTGTTCTTGTAGATAACTAGATAGTATAAAAATACAGTTTAAAAATAGAACAATGAAAGATTTAACTGGAAAAAATGGGAAATTAAAGTGCCTGGATAAACACAATTGTTATGAGCCGTTGCCAAAATAATTGCAATTTTAGCGTTAGTCATATTTTCGTAGGGAATGTGATCTGAGTGCCAGAACATTCTGCCTTTCCCTCTTTTTCTTTTATTGATGAATTTCAGTCAGCCCAATATAGGTAGAAGCCCTTCAGCATATATTTTGCTTTCTTTTTTTATCCTCCAGGTGCTGAAGATGATGCTTCAGCTCAGAATAGAACCATCTAGTTATATTTTAGACCAATCCTGAAGTTTGTGCAGTGATTATCTATAGCAGCCTTTCCCTTCGTGTTCCCGGTGTTCCTGTCTGAGATTAATAGGACAATGATTCCCACCATCCATGGTCATGCTGCCTTGGACTGATAAGAATTGCAGTGCAATGCATTAAATGGGGAGGGGGAGAGATTGATTTAGATAAAATGAACATCTTCTCTGTGATGGATGAATTAAAATATAGCTGTGAATGATTAATACTCTAGCTCTGCTGCCTCCCTTGCCAGCTAATAATTTTCTCTTATACAACCTTGTAAAAAGGTTGGTTAGTAAATGGGGATTCAGTTTGTGATTACCAATACCTACAAAAGGCAAATGGTAGCATGTAGCATAAATAGGGGACAAATATCTGACCCAGTGGCATTTTCATGACATGTGAAGAGAATTGTGTTAGGAAGTAACCCGACAGCTTGCTTCATGCTGGCCACTCTGTAAATAGCTGTTTTCCTTTCTTACTCAGTAAAGAGAGCGCGATAAAGATCTTTTCCTTTCTCTAAATCTGAAGCCCAGATATTAGCTTGGCTATGAACCCCTCAATATAGAGAGGATGTACTTTAATTAAACCTAAACTAATGAGGCTATCTTAACTGTTGTAATTGATCTGGGTTTTTCCCTTTTGTGTGAGCGGAGCCAGAGATTTCATTCCTCTAAGCCAAAGTAGTGTCAGAAATGGGGACGTTAGAAAGATAAGCTGAAATGGAAATCCATGCCCTTTCTGTTTTCTCCTTTGATGATTTGGGAATGAAGGCATCAACATGATCAAACATAAGCTGTACTTGTGGGTGGAGTATGGAGATAGCATGATTCAGTTAGATTTTGTAGGTGTGAAACCACATACTGGGAATGGTTCATTGTGGAGGGAGAGCTGTGCTATATGTCATGTCTATAAATGGATGAGTATATTAAATAGTCAGTTTGAATACTCATTTTTCATAAGGAATGCAGTATTTGTACATGAAAAGCTGAGACAAAGGTCTATAACTGTTTATTAAATACTTCAAGCTGAAAAAGTTGTATGCTACCATATATGCAACACACTGTGAAAAAGTTATTTGACCTTGTATTCTCATTCACGTTTTAAAATTATCTTCCAAATAACTTCCTGCCAACAAAATCTAATAATAGAAAAGAATATTACTTGGCTTTTAAATATGTTTTCTAAAGAATGCTTAGCTGCTTGTGCTTTGTTTTTCATTTGAAAACAATATCTAAGAAAAATAATACAGATATTCAGTGCTTTGAATTTGGTACCAAAACAGTACTTCAGAGTATGTGGTTTGTGTGAATGTAATATCTTATGCAACTCTTTAAAACAGCCACACTATTTCCCAGATCATATGGCAGCTACAAAAGGCAGCAAGCAACCTTGAGAAAAGATATGGGTGCTTTAAAGAGTTGAAGACAGATGCTACAATTTCTGTCCTATGCACTCCAGAAAAAACTTTTGCAAATTATTTCTGAAGCTCTGCATAGCTCTAGAAATTAATCTGCAGAAACTGGTTTTCAATTTACACATCATCCTTCTCCAGCTTTGAAATACATTAAGATTCAGTTCCCTTAAACTGGATTTGCAATGCTAGCTGAAAATGCCAAAGATTTATTCTAACATATCTGGAAGGCATATCAATCTACAGTTGATCTATGACTGAACAGAAAATAAAGGCTATTCATACTACAGAGCCTCTAACTGTTTATTGGATTTAATCAGACGAGTGATGTGGTCTCTTGCAACTTACTGTGCACTGAAATAAAAACAGTAAAATAACAGGTGATGGTTCTTCATATATCACTGGAAATGTATCACAGTCATAAAAAGGCATTAAAAATGTAATTGATGGCTATTATCGTGCCCACCATCTAGTGGCTTCATGAGCAGGTGCTGAAATAAATTGAAACCAAATTACAACATAGAAAGATTAAATATGGATAATGTGAGAAGGAAAGATGATAGAAGAGAAAATGGAATAGAAGGATTTTATGCCTCTACAAAAAGTTTCTATACGGTAATGGAGTAGGCAGTGCTACCCATCAGATGTTTCAGACTACAACTTTTATAACCCTTTGGGATTGACCATGCCAAGTCAACCGATGAGAATTAAAATTCTGATCAATATTTTTGTTGTTTGAGTTTACTTTAAAAATATGGAATTTAGTGAGTTTCTGTAGATCCAAAATGAACACTCAGTGTCAACTAAAGCCCATTTCACTAGAAAGTCTTTAATGAGATCTATCTGTGCTTTTGTTTTGATACTAGAATTACCTAGGTAGAAACATAAACATTATTCTTGGAAAAGATTACACTGTTTTTCAGTGGATAATCTTGCAGTCTAAAATCTGTGCTAGTCATATATATGCATATATATCAACTACATAGCATAGCTTATATCTCATTACTGTAATTAAATTATGGAAATTGTTTTGCATAATAAAACAGAGACATTCAGGTCCTGTATTCTAGAATATTGTTAAGGTTTGGTGTATCTGGAATAGATTCTGAAGCGTCTTTAAGCTTTGGTGTTAAACAAATGTTTATTTGAAAGGGAACTACTATAATCTGCTCATAGATTGCATGAAAACTAAAGTCTTCCCATGTGAGTACACTTCCTGTAGAAGACTATAATAATTGAGCACTTTGACCATATTGTATTTTTTAAACAAAATGTTCGGAATGTAAAATTTTACTTTGTGAATACTACAAAAATTAATTATGAGATATTCTTCAGCTATCCATGAAAGCATTCTATATTACTTTCTCATTTTGATGATTTTGACCTAAATTTTCTACATGTTTGTTATTACAACATGATACAGCATGCACGGGGCAGTGCGCACATTACATTTTGGGGATTCGGGCATGCACGCTTTGGGCACTTGGTCAGGAAAAGATTAGCCATCACTTGTATAGGATCTCCTGCTTGAGCAAAGGGCTGGACTAGAAGACCTCCAAGGTCCCTTCCAGCTCTATTCTGATTCTGAATTTACATTTCCCAGGAATGGATGGTGATCAGAATTCTGGCAGTATCAGAAAGGGAAATTGATAGACAAAGCTTTGCTTATGTTACTCGCTAGGTCAGGATGTGTCTCATTAGCATTACTCTCCTCAGTGTATTTTCTTTGGCTATTCTTTTCATTTCCCACTCCATTAATGTTTCAGATAGCAGAACTAATATCTGAAATTGTTAGTTTAATCTATGGTTGGTTCATATATCTTTGGATATATGAATCTAACACGTTTGACTTTACCTATGTTTATGAAGACATTTGCATATCTCTTTCTGCATTGGAGCTATAGCCCAAGTGTCAATACTTAACTCTTCTGTCAATTTATTTTATTTCTATTTTTTAAATGCCATTATATACTAGTTCCTTGCTCTTTTACAGTTTCCAAATCTGTAATAGCAAAATGTTCACAATGCTACAGAATAAAATAGATTAGTAAGGCAAGAAATAGCATTGGAGCTAAGTAGAGGAAATACTGGGACCTGTAGATCAGAAGACTAGCCATGGGATAGGTGGAAACTTTATTATCTGATTGTTTAGTTTTTAAATAAGAAATGTCTCAAATAGTCCCACACTAAGTTTACCAAGGGTCTTTGTGTTCTGATATGTCACTCAACTTTAACAGGCAGGATATATCATTTCGTGAAGTAGCAACTGAAGTATTTTTAAGTAAGGTCTACAGAATTTGGCCGCCTGCATAGATAAGATTTTAGTTTTAGATGAAACCTGATATTTTTTCATGAATAGAGTAGGGAGGAAGTCAAGATGAAAGCTTATCCTCCTTCGAGTAAGCCAGCTCAAGAAACAGCCATGACAGGGGTTCTTGGAATGCTCTTTATTGTAAGAAGGTAGAATAAAAGCATGTCCAAAACCTGTCTGTTCCTGCTAAGGATTACAGAGTTCTGAGTCTCTGTCTTAGTTTCTGTTTTCCTAGGACTGACCAACTATTTCTCCTCCTCCTTCTTCTGATTACCTGATGTAAATTCCTCCACAGTGCATAAACATGAGAGAAAGCCAAACAGACAATGGTA